TTTTCTCTATTTTAAGGGGAAGTAACTCATGTTTACTAAATTATTTGTTCTTTTCTGTCTATCAGTTGTAAGGTCATCAAAAGCTTGTTAATGTTTATGTTAGAATTTCATATTTATTTTATAGAAACTGGGAATTATTAATGTTATGTGCATACATGTATATCTTAGTATATTGAATTTATGAGACTTATAACATTTCTGAATTTAAAGAGTTACAGTTATGTCATTATTATTAAAGGGATGAGACTTTCATTTAAAGTTATAAATGATAATACATGTATTGATTGAAAATGTCCTTAAACTTGGATCAAGCAATATAACTAATAAAGTCTCAAAAAATCATATTCTGAATTATTATTCTAGTTTTTCTAAGTTTGTTTGTTGCATTTTCATGTTTTCGCCCGATGCCCTTGATACAAAATACAAATCAGCCTCCATAAAATTTCTTATCATAGAAAAAAGGTTAGTTTTTTATCTGTTCAAAAAAATAGATATTGTACAATGTATTAGCACAGTTTTGTTCACTTTCAAATGGACCTGTTATAAATAATGGCACAACCAATTACTGTCTAAGCCATTTTTAGTAAAAATAGTTATACAATAATATATGAATTGTTATTTTAATTAAGACTATGAGTATGTATTAAAGTTTTTTTGTCTTATTTATTTATTAAGAATTAATTATCTGTTAATTTAAAAATCTTAAAGTATATGTCACGGTAAAGACCTGTTCACTACTTAGGGGAGAAATATGTAAGCTGTCAGATAGCTTAATTGCTACAGCTGCGGTACATTATTCTGTGGGTCACGGGTTCGAGTTCTGGTTAAGCTGAAAGTGTTTCTCATCCTGCGACTGCATATAAGCATGAGTTCAATTCACTATGCTCTGTAAACATAAGAAATTCAAGGACACAAATTAATATTGTGGGGTAATATGTCGTGGTTTAGAACTGTTTCATTATTAAAGAGAAAATGTGTAGCCGACCTGATAGCTCAGTTGGTCTTCTGAAAGTCATGGGTTCAAGTCATGGCAGGCAGTTTCAGTCAGGGTTTAGAAGTGGTTTTTCAACTGACACATTTTTTTATTCATTTAACAGATTGCATTAAATTTGAAATGGACAAAGGCAGTATTGTATGATACTACAAAGATCTAAAAAGGGCAGTTGATTTCACTATACTGCACATGAATAAGTTTTTTTCTTCCTTTTTTTCTTCTTCTTCGTGAAACTTCAAGCATCTTCCATATGTAATGACATTCTTACATGGTTTAAGCCTTATCTCTGATAGACAGCAGCTTGTGGATATGGCTTGTAATGCACCGAGTACCTGTCCCCCGGTGTCCCCCTGTCCTCTTTATGAATGACATGTCTGCAACCCTAAGCAATAAGCGTTTTGTTTTATTATATGCACAGACACGAGTATCAGACCTGGGAAGAAAAAATATGACCAGATTAATAAATAACATGTGTTCATCTTAAAAGTGTAAAAAAACAAAAATAATTGTAAATAATGACCCCTTTAAAAATATGCTTTAAGTTAATAGTATATTTTTAAAGGGGGTCAATATCAGATACATTGATGTTATCTATGTCTCTGATCAATATTTACATTTTCTTTTGTTTTTATGAACACTTTTTTTATCAATCTGGTCATATTTTTCCTTCCCACGTCCGATACTCGTGCCTGTGATTATATGCTAGTGACTCAGGTACCCTTGTATCTGGTAAAATAAATCTGAAGAAATTTTTTCTTATAGCACGAATCTTATAAGATTGGTTAAATGACGATAAATTGTCTTTGCATCTTGGCAAGACAGAGTCTATTCTTTTTTGTTGAAGTTAGAACTTAAACTGGGCCTAGCCTCCAGGTCACATGTAATGTTACCACTATAATGTACACATCTTTTGTTAAGTATTTAGGTGCAAACCTGGATCAAATTCTTTTGGCGTCGCCCTTTGATGCTTTGCAATGTACGATCTATTGTATTCTTTTGTTAGAGAACGTCGATATTTTAAGATATACGCCGCAAGCTATTGACCACACTTACAATCAGTGTAACTACATTACTTAATGCAGCGTGAAAATAGTATTGGATTTATATAATACATTTTTTATTATATGGAGGTTTTAATTTTAATTCCTTTTTTAAAAAAATGGATGGATTTTATTTCACGAATTTACAAAAATGGCACAAAAGGTGAGATTTTGATATTAGAATTTAGATATACATGTACTGTTTGGCAGAAATGTCGTTTTGTTATATCATTAGTTTATAGAACAGAACAGAACAGAACATAAGTTTATTAATAAATCGTATGCGAACAGCATATTGATTAAACAATAACATTTTACATGCATGCATAAAAGTATGTAATGAGAGCATTTACAATAATGAATCAATGTATCAAAGATAAATACAAAGTCTACATATTTTCGATAGATTTGAGATATTCGGCTTTGCTATTTCTGACTATTCATATACAATTATGATAACGAAAATGTCAAACTTGGTCATTGTTATTTCATATGACACAGTATTTAAGTTAAGTATTTTAATTAACTATTTGTATTTAAGAGAGTCTTTCTTTCTTCAAATGCTTTGATTAGATATTTTGCCAGTCTGTATAAAATTTGCACATCACTAGATGATAATAAATCAATGAATTTAATCATATTTGGCCTTGTTCTGTACCAATGTGGTACATGTATATACTGTCTTCTAATTTTATTATACAGTGGAAATTCTAATATGAAGTGGAATTCATCTTCTATTGTTCGTTGAAGACATAATTTACACAGACGCTCGTTCCTAGGAATGCTCCTATGCCTACCTTTTTCAATTTCAAGGCAATGAGAGGACAAACGTATTTTTGTTATTACATTTCTATATTTCTTATTTTCCATCAATGTTAATAATCTGCCATTCCAAAGTTTTGTTTAATACTATTAAATAACATGATACATAGATAGATACTTTATAGATTGATTAAGTTGTCGCCGACTTTAATCTAGTTGCCTTTGACTATTACGAGTCATATTACACGAAATTAAGGGGAGGGAGTAGGGGCAGGGCCGCTGGGATCTTTATTATTTGCAAATGTATTATTTACTGGTGCCTTTCTTGGCCTATTGTTGTGCCCGAGGGTACCTAGAATATATGACAGTCAGTTACAACTTTAAAGCGAACAAAGTTTCAACGTTGCCAAATAAAACTTTGACAAATGTATTAAGAGTTTCAGTAATGGACATATATATATTCACAATATAATTTTTTTACACGTTATATCAAACTTTGACGATATTCAATGTCTTAATATAATGTTAGCCGTGCCACAACAAAACCAACATAGTGGGTTTGCGATCAGCATGAATACACCGCGACCAGCATCCGCGCAGTTTGATCAGGATCCATGCTGTTCGCTATCAGTTTCTCTACTTGTAATAGGGTTTGTAAGCGAACAGCATGGATCCTGATCAGACTGCGCGGATGTGCAGGCTGGTCTGGATCCATGATGGTCGCAAAACCATTATGTTGGTTTTGTCGTAACACGGCTCATGTATCTTCTTCAACCCTACAGGAATAGGAGGTACTTTAAAGGGTTTAGTACAATAAGAACACTATTGGAGGGGTGTGCATCGTTAAAACTAATAATAATAATAAATATAAAGAAAATTATACCATCGACAATAATTATTATTATACTAACAGATTTGGAAACATATATAATTATTATAATACTAATAATTATATTAATTAATAATATAGTAATTTCTTAGAAAATCCTCTGGCAAATAGGTGAACAATAAAACAATAGCCCTCTGGCAGCGAAAGGGTTAAGTGAGTATTATCTTGACATGTTTACATCGAAGTTATGCTTTTCAATATGTTATATGTATGTTATATTTAAATACACAAATGTATATGAAATTACCGCATACGATTGTCAGAACGCGCTGGTTCTTTAAACACAAATTTTGAAGTTATTTCAATTATGATAATTTGTTCATTCTCTATGAAACACTCAAAACATGTTTGCTTATCACGTGCTTATCATTGTATGTATTTAATTTGATGTTGTATAAACAAGATACATGTATTGTATACGTTAATAAAAATTTTGTTCTGTTCTGTTCTGTTAAAACATATAACGTACGAGGCGCTAACCTGGTTCAGTATAAGTTTGCAGTTGTACACGAGTCTAATAGAATCAGGTTGCTACAATAGATATGGACCTTTTGGACTCGAAAAAACAAACATGGCTATGAAGAATGCAATATTAGATTTCAGTATTTGAACTTCTTTTCCTCACTTTTTCAGATAGTTGATTACTTTACAAAACCTTCTTCTAACCAACTATGAAATCATATGTTTTGTATATAATATAAAATCCATTCTTATTACATAATTACTCATTGTACTTTCAAGCATATCCATGTACATACATATACACACTGCCAATATTTAGCAAATAAAAACTAGGATAAGACCTATATAAGCATCAGCTTTCGGTTCTGATCCTTTTTCATTCATTTCATGTGTTGTAAAGTTCTGTTTGTAAATTGTAAATGTGTATACTTGTTTGAAATAAACTATGTTTAAACTAAGTATTTGAACAACATGATGTTCAAATGTAAATCATCATAATAATTTTAATTAAATACAATTTATCCACGTTTTAATTTAGTTTGTTTCTTGATTTTTACTCCAGAACGGCGGAAACATTGCTAAATTGGATGAATTGTATCTAATGATCATTTATATTGGAACGTTTTGTCGTGCATATACTTTTATTGTAAATGGTGTTAAATTATTATTATTATTAGTAGTAGTATTTGTTTACTTTACAATATTTATTTTTACCTTTGACCTTTAGTTCTATATTTTTGTTGTAAAAAAAGATCAGAACAATCTGTAATATAAGATAACAATTTGTAATATCAGATAAAACGCTTCAGTGAAGTTTAAAATACTCAACTGTTTTCTTATATTTGTATTTAAGGTCGCCGTTTTGTTGTGTCTGTTAGTCGGACTTTATACAGCGATTGTGTACATATTACCAAAAGGTGAAGCCCAAGCGCAACCCAAACCAGCAAGATGGAGGTATTCTGATTTACAATTTTCATTGGTTTAGATACATTTTATTAAAGGCATACTTACCCTTACACATGAGTACAATTTTTAGTTTTTTAAAAAGGGTAAGCATATTTTAAACAGTTACTTTTAAATAATGTATTTAGAGCTTTTTGTCAATTACCATTAAAATTTTGAAGAAATAGGTAAAAAAGGTATCCGAATATAAACAAAGTAGTATTTTGATGTCCATTTAAACGATTTATCCTATAACCGTAGTGGATTCCAAAATATCAAAGAAAGAACAGTTTATTCAGCTTTATGGTCAATGAGATAACTTTTGGAAAATTTAACACCAAAAATAAATAACAGTGATAACTTTAAGGAATAGCAAGTATATCATTTTTGGGATTTATGGACCTTAATGAGTTTTTTTTTTCAAAATGAGCTTCAATTTGGAAGGTTGTTGGTAACTGGGTATTCAACTTACAAACGACTTTGTTGTTTATTCGGGACTATTAGTTGGTAATTAATCCAATTTTACAAGAATGAGATGTTCGAGGGGACCTAGTTTGTTATTCGAATGAATCCCCATCTACAACATTTTCCTGCTGGAAGGTAGTCGGTTATTGGAACAGTGCATGCATTCCTCTTAAAGAAAAAAGAAAGTGACTTAGTATTTGTTCTGGAGTAAATGTGATGGACACGTTACAAGATTTGTGTTGACATGGGTAGCTGAATAGATGTAACATGTTCAGCTAGTCGATATTCTTTACCATTTATTATTTCACAAAATAAATGTACTCTATGGCAACAATGATCTATACCAACGACTTATTTTGTACTAAGGTGTGGAATAATTGGCAATAATTAAATATAACAAGTAAAAATGGCTTTTATTTACTTCCTGAAATTAATTTGTTAACTCTATGTCGGTATAAGTGATCAATTACAAGATCCCATACGGGCACTTTTAAAATCAACATGAACTTCCGGTCATGGCTATAATCAATACTTTAAATAAGCTGAATGTCTTTTTTTAACTCTTTCTTTATGGATAATATCGATTTGTTGATATTGATCTTTCAACAATGGAAACGCTCTGCATTTCAGTTTTCTTGAAAAAGTGCATTAGGAAAATATATACCCGTAATTAAAACTTGTCTTTCGTGCAAAATAAACTACTTTTAGTGGATTCCTCAAATGTGTGTATTGGTATTTCGAAAGAAGTAGGCGTACCTACATGTGAAGGCTGAGAATAATTATTTATTTCTACTAAACATGATCTTTAATTATTGATCATTTTTGCCAACTTTTTTCGTTACGTTCGTTTTGTTCATAGGTACTCATATTAATAATTAATAGAAAAAATTATATGGAAATTATGCAGTGCTTGAAAAAAGTAAACAGTTCTATTTTCACTTGAGAGGGCAATACTCAACCGAAAAATAAGGCTAGATATGACAGGAAGTTGATTTGAATCATTACCGAAACACGTGTTATATCCTTAGAACGAATTTTGCAACAATTCTTATAGTTTCCACACCTTAATGTGTAGACGATTATCATTATTCCGAATGGTCACGAAACAAAAGTCTTTAAATTTCATGAAAACGTGGCTTATCGGTGTGGGCTCAAACTTGTGTCATTAGAGCTAGTCTTTACAGGAAGTTACGTGATGCATAGCGTGCCATGGTAAAATGAACTCTACGTATGTACCTAAAAGAGAATTGTATGATCCATTACATAATATGCCCCTTGCATTGCATAATATTGCCTCTGTTCAGCATTTTGAATATCTAACGTTTTGAGAAAAAACAAAAAAAAAAAAAACATTACATATTCGCAGGTACATCCACGTTACACGCACCTTTGTTCACGGTAGAAATGAAAATGTTCAATTTTGTCAAACCTGCACCGAAATGTTTGGACACATAAAGTAATGTTTCGGTATAAATGTGACGGTTATATAAGAAGACAAGTGTTCCCTAACATGGTTACACTCCCTTCTAATTTAGTTATTATACTTACTTTTTTGTATGAGGCATAGAAATAAAAAGGGAAACTATCGTGAAATTGCTAAAGTTGTATAGAACACCCGAGGTACTGATATTTTTAGCTAAATCGCAAATATATTGCGAATATTTTTTCTTGCATACTTTTCTATATTTTGAATGGTTAACTTTAATAAATAGAGGATATTCAAGTTTTTTTTTATAAATACAGGATTTTTTTTCAACGAGTGGTATTAAAATAAATATTTTATAAGTGGCGGTAGACACTGGTGAAATATGATAATTTTCATACCACAAGTTGAAAATAAATCCTTTATTTAAAGAAAAAACTTGAATATCCTCTTTTTATTAAAAAATGAACAATTCACATTTTCTGTTTATTATATACATTTTTTACATTACAATTTGAAAGACTTTCCCTTTAATTTCCTGTACTAATGGATTTAAGGAAAAAAGTATTTCGGCAAGGCACCAGTGAAAATACAGAAAAACATCTTTCACTGAAGTGAAAAAAAAATTACAGTGAAAATACGAAGAATAAAAATACGCATTTTATTTCATCAATATTTCTCAATATTTAATTTATAAGTATATAATGAATTGTTTGTCCGTTTGCTTTTTTCATGAAATTCATTGTCGTTTCATCTGTAACATTTTTGTTAAAATAACGTATATGGTCCTGAATTTAAACTTTATAAATAATGTCAAAATGAATTCATCCTTCAGTTGGCACACAGTTTTATTCATTAATGCACCGAAATTACGTCATCTTTAACACGTTTAATTAATAATTGCGGTAAAATGACGTCATTACACTCGGTAAATCTAACGGAAACACTATTCTGATATGTATTTTTGTTTAATCTCGTTAATTTGACTAATTCATATAGAAATGATAATACAAGAGATTCAAAATTTTCGCATGTCAACAATTGACATTTAATGTGGCTCTAACAGGACACCTTATTATTCAGTTATGATTCAAAAAGAAGAAAAGCGCACGTGGAACTCGTACAAAAGGATACCAATTACATGAAAGCATTTCATCTTCCGATCACAACTGGGTTAAATGACGTCATAAGTGAAAAGGAGGCATTGAAATTCAAACCTTGTGCAGATTCAAAACTTGCAGCCAATACAAATACATCGATGCTAAAATTAATAGGTAAGTGTTTGAGTGAAGAGAATAAGTAATTCTTTAGTTTTTGTATTTTTTGGACAACTAACCAGAAAATAACAATAAACTCCGGAATTAAGAATATTTGTGTTTGTAGCTACAATTAAATCTTTACAGTAACAGCACAACAGGTTGACTAATTTATTGTGACGGGTAGTGCACCGTGAAGCTATTATAACGGTATAAATTTAACAATGTATGTACCTACGGATAAGCTGGCCAAGGGGAAAACCCTACATTTGCCGAGTTCCGGATAACATCATTTTCAGTGCAAGTGACTTACTATTTATCCCAAATGCTCTCTCTAGATCAGCAGTAACAATCAAATAGCCATTATACTCAATGATCGAGAGAAGTTGTCACGTAGAAGTTATGTCATGCCCAACGGTTAAACCAGTGACTCCTGAATAACTTATCATAATTATGGTCTCCCTATTGAGCTATGCTGGCGGACAAAACATTAGGGTGACACTAATTTTAAATAATTTAGTAATATTACCATATTATGATTCACAAAAACAATACCATATCTGTCTATATATCTAGATTGTCAATTATGTTCTGATCAATTCTCGTTCATTTTTTTTTGCGGTTTCTTTTATTATTATCATTTTTCTTTCTTTCTTTTTTTTTCATGTTGGTTCTGTTTCACTTTTCGTCTTCATGCCCCCAAAACAAAGTGTTTCTTTTATTGTCATCTTTTTTATGCACATTTAAATTTGATTTAAAAAAAAGTTCTTAAATGTTATTCTTACAAATCAAATCAAACGCGTTATTTTTATAGTGCCTGATTTTGTATCAAAGGAAATATGAAGCAAATATATGTCAAATAAAAAAGAAGTAAAAAAATTTCCTTCTTTTGCAATTGCATTTATTTGAAGGTTAACACTTTTATGCACAACTAACTGCGATTGTAATAGGCGACATTCTATTGAAATTGACACTTAAATTGAACAATATCTTTATAATTTATAGAATACTGTTGATACTGCACATGCTTATATAAAAATCAAGCAAAACAAACGGGGTCTGATTTCACAAAACAGAAATTCTTATGGCAGGTTTCTGTCATTCAGTAGTGTGTTTAAATTGCGCAATAAGACAGGCAAGTAAAATCGCAATTTTTCGGCCCTTTCCGCCAGTCTTTGGATAAGGACTTACAGGTAATAGCCGAGGACGTTCCGATTGAGCCAAGTATTGTCGCTATTACATGTATATTAAAATATCTGTGAAATACGAAAAAAAAGCCTTTGACAGTCGAGAGTTGAGAGTACCAAATATATGCTTAAAAATTTGCATAAATGTACATGCATATCGCTCTTCAAACATAAGGAAACATTTAAATTGAATTGCTCTATAATAAAATTTTCGAGAAAAATATTATAATTCATATATAAATGTTCATACTTAATCACTTAGAACTTTATAAACATTTTTCCATGCAATACTTTATAAGAATATCTAAATAAAACATATCTGTTGTTTTATAAATATATGAAATACTTATGGAAAATGTGCCTATTGTAGGCCAATCCACTTTAAAGCAAAACAAGTGGGTGGTCAAGATATCGCCAAGTCTAAGTATTATGTTATTCATGCTCCTAGATAATCTAGAGGTCAAATTTCCTGTGTAATTCAGAGCTTTGTTGTTATAAAGTAATATTTATATCATGAGGTATACAGTCAAACTGTGAATACACATGTATAAGCTTTTCAATGGAGATACCAAAAATGCACTTTATAGACTCTTTCTTTGAAGTCAACTGTTGTATATTGTCAATCAGGTTTATCAAAGAGTGGTTATTATTTATAGGTTGGTCTTTATTCGGAGGTAGTCTATAAAACAGGTTTGACTGTATATTGAAAAGCTATAGTTGCTGATAAGTATAGCAATCTCTCTTTAATTTGGTACACACCAATCACTCTTTTCAGAAATATAATAGTACATATGTGCCCGTTTCACGATTCCCCGATTTCCATCTTAAAATCTCTGGCACCCATAATTCAGTTTTAAATGGCATTGAAAACTTGAATTGATGTTGGGGAAATTGCAATCCATGAAATTGAAAATACAAAGTCTAGAATTGAAATTGTGAATTCATGAAGTTGAATTTAAAATATTACTACCAGTCTTTCGTAGTTTCATCGCACAGAAAAAGTCTTTTTATATTTACTTTCAGGAGATCACCACGGTACATATCGTTTAGGGGATACGATTACTGTACAAACAACAATGTACGATGCATACGGACAAGCTAAAACAACTGGAGGAGACAATATACGTGGACGAATGTCTAGTCCTGACTTGAGGGCGTATGCACCAGGGACTGTCAAAGACCACAACAATGGAACATATTCTATCATTTTTGAAGCACTCTGGAGTGGAGAGGCGTACATAACTGTAACAATTGCTTACACAAGGGAGGCAATTACAGCTATGTACCGACTTCATCTAACTGTATGTATAGTTTTATTATCAAAGTTTGATGTTCATTCTTGTAACATTTGTACATATTCCTTCACTTCGGCAGTTATTGTCATTGAAAATTGGCTTTTTTGTTGTTTCTGCATTATGTTCAATAACGCTTCCACCCCCCCCCCCCCTTTCGACCAGGACGAGGAATAGGTCTGCATAGTATTTAAAGTTGGTGATTTTGAGTGTAGCGATCTGTAAATACTATGTAGCTCTACTCCGAGTGTGGTAACTCTCTTATCTACCTCTAAGTCCGGTAAAATGTATTTGTTGAGTCACAGGAAATGAAAACGTTTTATAAATACATCTGTTATGTATGCTTAGAACTCCATTTATGCACGAACTTTTTCTTTTAGTGTATACCCTTTAGCATCGTCTCATTTTCATATGTTTTATAGGACCGCGTTGTATTTTTGTTTATTGGGTTTTACGTCACATCGACGCAGTATAGGTCATATCGCGACGTTTCAGCTTTACTGTTGGAGGAAGACATCAGGTGTCCTTCCGTGCATTATTTCAGGCACGAACGGGCACCTGAGTAGAACCACCGACGTTCCGCAAGCTAGCTGGATAGCTTTCTCATATGAAAGAATCCAAAGTCCATGTCGGGATTCGAAACTACAGCGATGAAGGGCAAGTGGTTTGAAGTCAACGACCTAAACCACTAGGTCACGGACGCCCCGCACCGTGTTGTATAGTGGATGATTAATAAACGCAAAACTGACTTTAACATTTTAATACTATAAGTGTACATAACTGCTCTGGTCAACTGCCAAATTCGAACTCTCTCGACTGGCCTTTCAAACAAGTATTTATCAAGACAGCTGGTCACATAAAATGATACGAATTACATACCATAATGCAGAATTGTTAAACTAACGCAGAATTGTACAAAATATCAGACAGCATTGTTGAATTAAATGCCGAAAAGTAGCTATATAGTTCGCTAAATGTGTAAAGCAAACCGTAAAGAAAGCTTAAATGTGCGTTATTGTACTCAAAATATCGCCGAAAAACAAACTTCTACTCTGGAACGGTAGCCAAGTGTTTTTTTCTTTGAAGCAAAACTATAAATACATGTTAATATGACAGTTCGAATATATTGTCAAAGCAGCCGTATGCGCTAATTGATTTCCTTCACATGTGTTTTAAAACATATGACAGTCTTTTTTCCTATTCGGAGTGGTCAATCCGCCACTTCAATAAATGCACAATTCAGCACTATTTATTCAACAAATTATTATAAACAAATTTTCTTCTGTACGGAGAACAATAGAACAGAAACAGGCCGGTAAATATTTGCAGACATATTAGCGGTCGATTCATGATTTACTAGACTGTTTTTATTAAGTAATTATTGTAACTTTTTCTTTTCAAATAGACAAGTCAATCTAAGGTCAAATAGTTACTCGCCGAAACTTTATTTAAACACTTAAATGCCAAAAAAGGGATATAAATTACGAAGAGAATTTTCAAATGGTACCGTGGTCACATAGAATGAAATTGCTTAGGATGAACTCAATTTTTGACTAGACATCAAACTGGTTGAGTCACATAATACTCTGACAAGGTGCACGGCGTATTAAAAATGGCACCAACACTCGCAGATATTGTCAATATCTTTGTAAAAACCGACTTAATTTCTTCAAAATAAAATGCACAATTCCCTTTAAAAAAGAACTTTTTTTGAAAGTTATCGACTTTTTGTGAACTTAGATCCATTCCCAACCGCCTCGGTTAATCAATACACATTGTTAACAACAACAACAAAAAAACAACAACAAATAAAAAAATAATACCCCCCCCCCTCCAAAAAAAACAACAACAACATATGCTAGGTGTATATCAGTTTAGGCATTGCATTGCATTATTGACACACACTTCACACAAAGTAGGTAACAGACGTTAAAAGTGATAAGTATGTATTAGTCTTTATTCGTTTAAATTGGTTAAAAATAATTTGAAACACTAAAGAAAAACAAAAAATATTTTTCGAAGAAAAGAAAAACGATGTAAACCTGTGCTTTTTGCGCATGCATTTCCAAACGTACACTTTACTCAAATGTAACATGTGTTTACAGCATTTTACATTCTACCACCAGATGATTATGGGACGTCGGGTGATTGATTGATTGATTGATTTTCTTTAGACCGGGCGGTCAAGGATAACCTACGAAAGTGCAAGCACTTATTTCCAGTAGGGTTCTTACCCCAGCAGACACTAGAGACAGCTATCAGATACAAGGAAATCCGGGAACCAGTCCCTAGCTCTTATTGAATAGATTCCTTGGTTCTTTTACATTCCCAGTGTATAGCACTGATACATGCGAGGTGTTTCGTACCAGTAAACCTCTAGTTAGGTGGGAAACACTGAAACTGTTTCTGAAAAATCCCAAGGGTGTTACCCAGGATCGAACCTGGAACCTCAGGAGTGACAGTCAGTGGTCTAACCAACTGAGCTATCGCTCCCGTTCGTGCCTGAGGCATCTGAGGTCTTCCTCCACCAGTAAAGCTGGATGTCGCCATATGACTTTATACTGTATCGGTGTGACGTAAAAACCAATTAAACAAACATTTTTTTTTTATTTCTGATATCTATTTTTACCTTGCTTTAAAGATTGAAGAAAAATAACAGGTCAACTTTTATCGTAGTTAAAAAACAAACATTCTTCTATTTTTCAGCAAATTTCTTTAAAGCTAATTCTGACGAAGTTTCAGACTGGGAATATTCAGGAAGATGTCATTTGTCATCCGGACGAAAACTTAACTGCTTATACAAAATATAAAGATGTTTGCAATTTCACACAGCTGAACTCGGGCATGCCATGGTATTGTGGGAAACCACATAATCCGAAGCTAAGTTGTAGCCATTGGACAAAAGTAAGACATGTTCTCCCGACTTGGCCGAAATCAATAAGTAAATGTGAGAAAGAACTTTTAGCATTCAGGTATGAATTGGTAATTTTTCTCAATGGTAAATTACTTTCGAAATGTTAACGGTTGTTAAATCATATTTGAAAGAAAGAACTGCTTGTCTTATTTTACTAGGAAGATACATAATTGTCAGCAGTCCCAAAACCTACATTGTAACTATCTTTAAAAATTAAACATTAATGTTTTTTAATATCAGTCCATTATCTTCTTGAAACTGCGATATTTTTATGCGTTTTAACTTTTAAATTCTAAGAATGATAAAAGGTACCTGTAGCTAAGACTGCAAAACAAAATTCTCAATTTGAAGCAAATTAATTTGCTTATCAAATGAGACCTAACATTAATGTGTCCGTACATATGTAATATATGTTTCTTGGTTCTTTTGTATCAATGTATCTTTCTCGTATTATTTCAGAGCGCACAAGGATTTATTCAAGAAAATTAAAGTACTGGTTACAAAACCTGCACAGTTAAAAAACAAAAAGTCAGTTGCCTTTTTACAATCGACCACTTCATGTCAAATCTATAATACTTCCAAGCTTTGGTTCAGAAAGACTACGACTGGATATTTCTTCAAAGGACAGTGGAAAATGCAACACTGCAAAGGTATTGTGAGTATATTAATCTTATCAAGGATGTGAAGTCTTTATTTAAGAAATACACATTTACACCGCTTAAACTAAGCTCTGTTCCCTAGGATTTAACTCGTTACAGGACTGGAGCATTAAAAACCCTCTAAACGCTTGCAGAAATCATGACCACAGATTAGACAAATATCGTTTTGCACCGATTATTACATTTTTCATTCATTATCATACATAAATCGTTGTTAAAGATGAATTAGACATTTAAATGTTCATTCCATTTGGTAAAAAGGCAAGATTTTAGCATTTTATCATTCAAGCGCCTTGTCTGGTTTATTTCAGAATACGGTATTTAGTGAAGTGCTCCAATCCTTTTTCTAGTCTCACTCTGTAAAAAAAATCTACTGTTTACTGTCTTCTGTCACACTCGGTTGACAGTCTACCGGTATTCTAAACGACACGTACATAAATATTTAAAGTTTTAGCGGTGAGCTGTGAAAAATTATCCCTTGTAGATATTTAAAGTAAATAAAGATTTTACGTTAGAAATACGATGAAGAAAATATTTTTTTCAAAAATTTGTACAATAATTATCAATTTCTGTCTCACACACATGAATTAAATATAAAAAACAATATAATAAATATTACTTGACTCGACACCTAGATTGTTTCTCCAAAATATCAATTAAAACCAAAACTTCCTAATTATGTCATTGGTCTAATTTCAGGTTTTCATCGCGCTTATTTTGATAACTGTTTGAGGAATAGAAAGCTTTATCTTATTGGAGACTCTACAACGAGACAGTGGTACGAGGACATTCTTAAACGTTATAACTGTATCCAATTTACAGAACAATGGAAGTATGCCAAATGGAAGAAACCGTCCGGCTGTACTGTGGCAAGAAATAACTTCACCGTGGCCCTGTCTACGCATTGTCAACCATTTTATGTAGGAACATTTTGGATAGACCCAAAGTTTACCTTTAATTCGATTTCCAAACAAATCGACTCAATATCTAGTCATGAAGATGTGATAGTTTTAATTCACATCTTTTTACACATGAATACTTTTCACCACAAACACTTCCGGTACAAAATGAGAGCGATACGTAACAGCGTTGAAAAATTGATTCAACGGAATGAAAAGGCGAAAGTATTTATTAAAATGCCACATACGTATTCTAGCGTTCATCAGGATAATGGTGCAATTAACGATTTTTCCGGGTATATCTACTCAGGCATAATTGTGGAGGAATTTCGCGGGTTGTATGACAAAGTGACAGTTTTAGACAACAAAGACGCGACTATTGCAGTCGCTTCCGGTGGACTACATCCGTTACCATATATAGTTTCAGCCATGGTTGATCAAATGTTTAGCTACATTTGTGGATAAAATTCCCAGTAGTATTAAACATACATGTATGTTAAGAATGAATTCAGTGACAAGGGAAACAACCAAAACTTTATTGTATCATTGTACTTTTACATGGATTATCTTTCTTTTGTTTGTCAATATCTTTTAGTAAATTTAAAAAACTCTAACACGGCTCGGGGTTTTGTCACAATATTCAAAGAAAATAAATGGTGAAACACTGCCAATAAAAACTGACTTCTTGTTAACATGAACTCCCTCCGGAAAAATGTAAACAACGACACAGTTTATAATCAATCAAATACGTTCTAAATGAAGTATTGACTAAGAATAAAACACGTGTTTTCATTTTAGAAAGAAGAGAAAGAAAATCTCATTTCTAAGGCGAGTTAAATGTGCCTTTAAAACGTAAGCTTTGATTCGTCTGTTCTGCATGTCTTTAGATGTGTAAAATATTGTTTTCAAGACAAACACATTTGAGCCGCGACACAACAAAACCAAAGTAATGAGTTTGCGACAAGCATAGATCCAGACCAGCCTGCGCATCCGCGCAGTCTGATCAGGATCCATGATGTTCGCTGTCAGTTTCCCCACTTGTAATAGATAAGCAAACAGCATGGGTCCTGATCAGACAGCGCGGATGCGCTGGCTGGTCTGGATCCATGCTGCTCGCAAACCCATAATGTTGGTTTTGTCATGACACGGCTCATTTGTATTTTAGAGTTTTTAAGAAAATTGACAGGTATAAACATTCACATTCTGTCTGTATCTTTGAGTGGTAATAGCATTTTTATCATTTCATGTTAGAATATATAATTTTAATCACCAAATTCTACTCCGTTACAAACATAAAAAGTTATTTGCATATCTTTGGATACACACATGTATATTACTACGGTTAAATTATATCTGTTCTCTTAATTCGAAAATTTGGCAGCATTCTATTACGCATTTGAAAATTTTTTATAAGTAATATTTCTGCCAAAAAGTGCTTTTTTTGATTTTTTTTTCTGGCTATTTAATTTATGCCAATGAGTAAATGTGACCTTGACCCGTTGAAGGTCAAACCTGCGCTTTGCACTTTGTCTTAATATTGTTTAACTGTTCTGACAAGCAATTTTATTTTCTTTCCACCCTTTCAAAAGGTACAGACCGGACACGAAATTGTTAACCGAAGGACAACCGGGTGCCTATGAATATACGCCAAAAACTTTTTTCGGGTGTTTAATTAAAAGATTATTAAATAACATTGAAAGCAATCTCATATTCGTAATTTTTAACTGTATTTTTAACACACTAAATTATAAAATTCCGATTTATATTCAACTAATTCATTCATTCATTCATTCATTCATTTATTCATTCATTTATTCATTCATTCATTCATTCATTCATTCATCCATTCATTCATTCATTCATTCATTCATCCATCCACCCATCCATTCATTCATTCATCCATCTATCCATCCATTCATACAGTCATCTATCCATTCATACAGTCATTCATCCTTTCATTTATTCAAAAAACATGCAAGTTCAATGGTATTGTATCCCGGGCACAATTAAGCAATAATACAAAGATAACGTCGCTCAATATTCTAAGACTCATAAACTTCATGTGTTTTCTTATATAAAAAAACAAAAACAAACAATAAAAAAGACCTCTTTGAGTGTAGAGAACCCAAGAGAGTTCAGAAGCCGAATTAACTTTTTTTTTTTGGAACCACGTTTAAGGCCCGTTTATTTAAGAAAAAATGATACAATACAAGAATACAAACCATGATAACTTAAGCCGAATTAACTTTATCCCACTCACGGCTACTGTAAAATCGTGACATTATGCAAGGTAAAGGTTAATTCTCATTCAGTTATTTAGTATCTACACAAACCTTAAACTTTCGGAAACTTTTGTTTGCTGTTTTTTTTTAATTTCTTCATTTTATTGAATATGTACAAAAATATCGTTTTTATTGATGTTTTGGAAATTATTTTCAAAGCTTTATGGCAAGACCTTTATAGCATAATAAGAATTTCATACATGTAAGTACTGCTCTTTACTTTTGTTGAATACTGATATTTAATCTCAACTGGTACCGAGTGATACTTATATCCTAAAATATTAATATCTCTGAAATACGTGTTTATATTTTCTGATATCTCCCACCAGAACGAATATTAAACCAGGCTATATCGTATAATTATGTTAAATTCCCGAAGAGTGCAACTGCAGTCATATGTCTAGGGAGAAATAATGTGATATGTATAACATTAAATCAATGACGCTTCAAAGAATGATGCCACAAGATTTAGCCTAAATTTCATGAATATTTTGAAAATGTATTTTAAATTTAAATACTGTGAAGTGAACAAAGAAAGTAATTTACACATTGCAAAGAGCACCTACAAAAAGACGTTAAGATATATACACAAATAACACTTAATATCGCGTAACTCACGCAATAGAAATATGGGGATATATACGTATACTGCCAAATCAGTCATTAATCGCACATTACATCTAAATTATTACTTTAATATCTTATCTTTTTACTTGTCTTATAATCAGGCAATCTCTTTAATGATATTGACTTGATTTTTTCATAGTTCCATCAATGTACGAAACTTTAGTTTTTTTACGCTCGACAGCTTTTAAAGATGTACTATGCTCATCTTTTGGTAAACTATTTTTATCTTAGAAATGTACTGAAATCCATAAAATTCTGACTGAATATGTATGAATTGAATAAAAGAATAAATAAATTGTGTATGGAAAGTTGCATTACCTTTTACTGGTCATGTAAACTTGGTTTCTTTTTCTTAAAAAAAACTGCCAGTTTTTTAATGACACTATATTCATATTGTGACCACCTGTAGAGTGTAGAGTTCAAAAGATAATATATCTACTTTAAATGAAATAGAAACATGTTTATTTCATACATACAAAGAGACTGTGTAACAATTATTAATATTTTCAAAAATCAAATTTGAGCATAATATATCTTTGAGCATAGTATATCTTGCCCAATGCAGGCAATCCACGCATCGGCATCCGTCTCGAGTAAATGTAATCCAAACATAGTATTGTGTCTCGAATAGAAATGTTAGTGTCATATTTGCGAATTTGTAATAACTGTTTTTACAGTATTTTTTCTAATTACAATTTCAAAGTATCGGTTATACTATTATGATTATTGCCATAAATGTGTTAATAAATCTGCGTTTTGTCAAATAAGCTCGACCTAATTTTCGCAAATATTTCCTTTTATTGTCCAAAATAAAAATAAATTCCATTATTATGGCGATGACATACAAAGATAGTATTTTTTCATAGAATTCAATAAAAATGTTTTATGAATAAGTACTCTTTGGTTCTAATGGCTAGGGATATTTTCATAAAATGAATAAAGAGCAAATGAATATAAATATGTTGAAGAGATGCACACTCTTGAAAAACCGTTTCATAAAAGAACTAAATACACGCAATATACAAGCTAATTGAGGTTCCTTCGAGGCTATCTGTATGTGAAGGATTCGTCATTTACCTAATTGAACGAGGGTCAGTTATCCACACTTTTCGCCCGACTGAGCGCCTTTAGAATTTTTAGATTCTCCCCTAGGATTGCACTGACATCAGGCGTACCATTTACAGTTTCGTTGAATGGCTATAGTGGTTATTAAAGTTTGAAAAAGCCCGTAAAACGCGACAGTGCGTGCAACATGCAAAAAGCGGGTATTTTTCGAATAGTAAACCAATAGACGTCACGAAATATTTGTGCGTCATTGACGTTAACGTACGCCGTAAAAAATACGTTGATATATTTTGACTGTTTTCTACCTTTTTACGTTTTCCTCTGTTAGGGATATATTTATTAAAAAAACGTGAAAGTGACATTATGCCAATCAAAGTGTAAATGGTAAATGTACATATGAAAGACAAAATAACTAGTACCTTTACATTTTGCAACAATTGTGCCAGTGTCACACAAATAACCAATAACTCAAGTGACCAAAATTTCTATAAATTTCCTTCGATGATTAGCGGTTATGCGCATTTGATAGAAAGAATGGTGCATTTTTTGTATTTATTAATACTTATCATTTTTCATTTATTATCAATTACTGGGCATCCAAATTATAACAGTCAATCGTATTCAAACATAAATCTAAAATTTAGCCCAACTTGAAATGAGCAAATTGTCACTTTAATTTTTTCCATTGATATGTAGTTTAAATCCTTCCTTGGCTTGAACAACCCTTGATTATATCAAATCGTTTTTTAAAATTTATCGTTAATCGACTAAACCTTGCATGTGTCACTGGATATTATACCATTACATTCAATGAAATTTTTATTTAATACAATTTAAAACAATCAAACTAAGAAAGAAACTTTGCAAGCAAATACATTAAATTTCCATTGAGTGTTAACTGCGACCGATGAGTAGTGAAAACGCAAACAATATATTCGTTAACATAAAAGTAAAAGGGGACCAGCAATCTGATAATACTAACAGAAATGACAAAGCCATCACTCTATATCTTCCTATATCTTTACTGCATCTTTTGTTTTGCCTGTTTTGTTCCACAGACAATCGAAGAGGACTGACACAGCTGTTAACAGCTGACAATATATCGACACGTTCTGTCATTCTCATGGTCAGTAAAGGTTTCGTGACTGACAATATTTACCATAAACCATTCTCGGCCATGTCATACAAGTCATGATATTATCTACATAACAGAATGATTCACACAAGAGACAGACTTAAAGTAAAGATTATTAATAAGTAAGTCCATTATTACAACACTAATTATAAATCATTTATGAGTTAAACAGGCGGCCTCGGAAGGAGTTTTACGGTGGTTACTTGAAATAGTTGTCAGTTGTTTAATCATTTTATTTATAGATAATTGAAGTTCAATGAATGATCAAATCGCTTCTGAATAAATTAAAAAATATAGCCTGAATGAGATGAATATGACCCAAGACGCTAGCTGGAGTTTAAATTTATGTAAGCAAAAAGGCTATATTCTCTCGTATAGCCAGTTAGCAACGTG